AAGGTAAATAGACCTTCAGTGTAAGGTTTTATGTTAATCTGGCTAATATTGGGTTTGGTTTAATGTTTGCTATAGCCATAGATGCCAGGGGCTTCAAAATCCTCTGATGCTTGTTTTGCTTATTTGGCTTTCGTCTCTGCTGGATGTTTAGGTTCCTTTAAGAACTCAGTAGTCTGCTTTTGCAAATTTTTCAGTTGTAATCCACTTCAATTGTAGTGGAGTCCTGTAGATATGGTGGAAGGGAACTCTTCTGTGATCTTCTGATTATATTTTATCCTTTCAGTGGGACTGTGTTCCTGAGCTATGTCCTTCACAAGGACTTCTTCACTTTTTCCTCCTGTTATGAGAGAGAGGAATGCTATGGGTCTGTCAGGGGGAGGGGTTTGGAGATGCCCTGTCCTCAGGTGCAATAGGCTTTGGCAAAGCCTTATTTTTTGTTGAAATGCAGGCAGTTGTTATGGAGCATGCTGTGTGTGTTTCAAAATGGTTATCTTTCCCCTTTTAATAGCAGAGGCATATGATGATCTATTGTTTTCTGTTACAATCTGGTGTACTTCTATGAAAGAAGAGCACCTTTCCTGAGACAGCAGCCCCCAAATGATCTTAGCTCTCATTGTCATCTCCACATGGATTCCAGCAACTCAATCCCAGTGACTCTAAAGGCTGAGGCAGGAGGAGTGCGATTTTGAGGCAAGCCTCAGCAATTGAGTGAGACCCTGTGTCCAAAAGAGTTGAAAATGCAGCTCGAGCAATCCTACCAATTTAGACTGAGTATCCGTAGTCCCTGTCTCTCCAGTCTCAGGGTGGTGGCTTACCCTACAACTTAAGTATCTGATGTATACCAGAATGGCCATTGGTTTTCAGTTCTTTTTGTAGTTGTTTTCTTCTGTTATTGTTAGGACAGGAATGATGACTTTCAAGTTCTTGTCAGAAGTGAAATTTGAAAGCTATCTCTAAATTCATTTTGAACCAATATGTATGAAATGTCAACTTTGAGGATTGCCAGCTTATTATATCTTTAGTAGTCCCACATATCTCAATCAACCCTGGATGGGAATGCCAGCAGTAACAACAACAACAAAAAAATACCAAGAGAGAAATGCAAATTTGTTCCAACATTTTTCTTAATTTTATAAGTAAAAAACAATTATGTGATATAACAATACAAACATTCTAAAGGGAATTTTTAGAAAATATTTATCAATAAGCAAGAAGTTGATTTTATTCATGACTTTCACTTGGGATTTGGATAAAGCCTTCCCTCTCAGAACACTGAAGTAAGGACCTAAAAACCTAATTAGACTTTTTGATATGGATTACAGACAGTGATTTAGCATTTTCTCTAGAAAAGTCTGATGTTACCACAGGATCTCCTTCCGCAGTAGCTGAGCAGACTTCCTATTCTCAATGTATCCTTTCTCTATTATTTACCTCTATCATGTAACTCTTTTTGTGGCTGAACCACCAAGGCATTTGAATTTGTTGTCTAAACGGATTTATTAGAAGTTGGGGGAAAAGTGAGCAACTCTAATATGTCTTTTTTAGAGTCTGGAAATCAGAAATTCAGTATGTTGTTTACACTTCAGTAAACACATCTGACTGTTTCCATGGATCATTTGTAACACACAACCTTAATTAGCAACAAAGCACATATAGAGGTATTATTGAATTTTCGTTATTTGGGATTTCTGAAAACAATCACCTTTTGCAAATTATCTCCGTATCTTCTTTTCATTTCATGTGAGTTTATTCTGTTTTAGAAAAGCCTGGCCAGCTTCTACAGGTCCATTTTGTAGCATTCAGATTCTAGTTTAAGATGTAGTCATTACTGCCACTACGTGGCTTATTTTGAAAGTACTTAAAAATGAAACTTATACTTACAGCTTTGAACTTAAAAAAAACAACAACAACAACAATAAATTGACATTTTCTCAAGTCAGCAGAGATATTCGCTATATACAGTCATGTGTCCCTCAATGATAGGGATATGTTATGAGGAATGCATCATTATGTAAATATTCTTGAGCATAATTACATGAACCTAGTTGGTGTCGGTCAATCATTTGGCATGGTGTTTTGATATAATCAAGAGATGTGGTAAACACAAGACTTATGAGGCTGCTGCAGCCATACAGTTTTACAGTATACTTGTACGTTTGTGTATGTATATAGATTACATTCCAAAATAATGCTTAAAAAGTATGGTATAGCAAATATATAAACTAGTCAGTCATTATCAATTATGTATAGTTGCACATGCTATAATTTTACATAGCTTGCAGTACAGGTTTGTTCACACCATATCACTAACTGATAGGCATTTATTCAGCTGTATTAGTCTTATAGGACCACTGTTATACATGTACTCTGTTTTTGAAAAATATATTATGAGGTAGTGACCATGCTTTTCTTTAAGGATATGACCCAATTAATAGTAATACTTTATTTTGCTTCTTAAAAATCTACATCCTGAGTGAAACACATACGGAAAAATGTGTGTATAAACACAAAGGTAAATGTGCATTTATGCACACATATTCAACAATGTATATCCATGTAATGCATTTTCCTCACTTATACAAGTGGATTCATCTGCATACTCTTCTGTACCTTGTTTGTATCTTTTCAATGTCTCAATAGTATTCATTTCTTTCTGCTTTGTATTTTTGTTTTGGTACTAAAAATTCTACTACTGATGTGCCTAAAGAATTATTTCACACTTATATATATATCATTGAGAAAATTGCCAGAAGTAATATTTTAGATTTCAGAATAGATGTTTAGAATTTTAAAACACATTGTTGATTTGTTTCCGTAGAATTTACCATCAATTCTACCTTTCCCAGATATTCTTTTTGTTGTTCTTTTGTGTGTTTTAGTTTTTTTTTTCTTTTTTGGCACTGGTGGTTTAACCCAGGGTACTCTAAAACTAGAGTACTCTAGAGAGGGCTGGGGATGTGGTAGTTTGAGAAAGGGTCTCCCTAAGTTGCCCAGGCTGGCCTTATATTTGAAGTCCTTGTGCCTTAGCCTCCTAAGTGGCTGGGATTACAGCTGTGCACTTTATTCTTAAAATTTAACTTTCTCTACTGTCATACTATACAGAGTGCAGTTACATACCTTTCTAAAGTACATCATGTATCTATTTCTGTGAAATTCTTGTTCACGTTTTTGTAGTTGCCTTTCATGTTTTTTAGTTGATTTCTGTGCAGCCTTCAAATTGTAATACTCTGACATGAATACCAATCTTTTTACCAGGTTTTACACTTTAAGTTGATAATGATCATTTATGCTACTTAATAAAATTTAACATGTTTTATTTAGGGTTTCGAGGTGTTTTATCCTGGTAAGAACTATCTTTTTCCCTTAAGGTTATGAATAAATGTATCCACATAGTTTGAAACTACTTTTATGCCCATTGCCATGTGGATTCTTTTAGTTTATGAAATCTTTTTAGTGCATTTAATCTTGATGTAATCAAAGTATCAAAAGCTTAATGGTCTCTGATTTGGAGGATTAGCTGAGAAAGCCTTTAAATGGAAGTCTTTAGCCCAACACCCAATTTTTTTTTCTAGGATTTCGATCATTATTTTATTTCCATGTAACTCCTTCAGGTGTAAACATTTACTTTCATGGATAACAGTTATGACAGCATGTTTATGCTTTAACTCTATTCAGATGCTTCCCGTGCTTCTGTAATAAGGAGTGAAGGTACTCAACACGTCTGAGTGTATCTCAGGCTCTTCATGTGACACTGTTAATTTCACTTTGTATTTTTGAAGCTGCTTAGACAAAAATTTATAAATATCTTAGGCTAGACATTTCCTTCTATTAATGTGAAATATCCATCTTTGTCTCTTTTAGAACAAAGTTGGCATGGCATTATATCTTATTTGGTATTATTACTTTATAAATTGTGTTTTCTGTAATATGGGGGGGGGTGTCATCACTCATCCTATTTGTCATTGTCCTCTATTGCTTTCACACAGATGACCGAATTTATTGTCAGTGTGTGAATATCTTAATACTCAAATCTAACTCCCCTGTTATTGTCATCATGGAAATCATGATGCATTTTTATCTCCATTTTACCATTCTCTGTCATTTACCCTCCTTATTAGTTTTTGTTCAATTAGTGTTTCAACTTATTTTTCTCTTTTAGTCTGGTAATATCACTGAATATGTATATATATTTTATATGTGCATAAAATTAGTCAGCATTTCCATTTTATCCTAAGTCTGTTCTCAACTATAGCCAGGAGTTGTTTTTTATCTCATTAGGACACATATGATACAAGTAGTGGCTGCCTAGAGTGTCATATTTACATAGGATCTAAGATCATGTATGATTAAGACCTAGAAAGAATGAAGTAACCAGAAGAAAAATTAATTCAAGAGCACAGAAATACATTTGATTATAAACTCATTGTATGATTTTCCTTTCTGAAACTTGTTTCTTATGGTTCAGAGATAATATTCTCTTTAAGTAGTTTTCTAGGAATATCTCTTGAGGCACAGGAGTCTAAATAAGATAGTCAAGGGTAAAGCCAAGGATTAGGACTAAAAGAGTGAAATTGTCAAAGTAATTATCTGGCAACAGGGTGAAGGAGAACAGTGGAGTGTGTGTGTGTGGGGGGAGATATATGACGTAATTTCTTCTAGAATTCTCAAAATATTATAAGGTTCACAACATCAGTATCTATGAAAAAATATTAGCTAATAGAGATCCAATTAACTGAATGGACTAAAATATACTTGTATGTGCTTTTTGGCTATCAGACATTGTTGCCATGAAGTGCAGTGAGAAGACCCATTCATCTTCAATGGCACTTATCTAATCTCAGAAGCCTGGTGTGTGTGAGAAATGGGATGCACTGGATGTCACTATCGATGTCCTGGTCAGGACCCAGGCAAAACTGGCATTCCACGATACTGATACCTAACTCTCATGTTGTTAACCCTCTTCTCATAATGTACCTCCATATGCATATGATTTCCTGCAGTATTCAAAGGCGGAAAGGCATCCTGTGACTGCGCTGGAGAAAATGATGGAGTCAAGTTTTGGCGCCCCCCAGTCATTCCCTGAGGTTCCTTCTCCTGACAGAGGAAGCCAGTCTGTTAAACACCACAGGTACTAGTAGCCGATTATTGTGGGACTGGGTTCATTCACACAGTGTACACTCTGGACACACATGCCGAAAAATGGCAACATGGGATTGTTCTTGATTCTCCTATAGTTCTCCATGGAGGAGATGTTCCAGCAGCTCACAGCAGGTAAACAAAAGACACTGGCTTCCCTCGCAGGCAACATTTTGCCTACAAGAGCCTGAAGAAACCATTAACAACACTCATCAGAGCTATAGGCATAGACCAGTGAACAGAACAATTGCATTCTGAAAAACTATTAAAACATGATTTTTTCCTAGCCTGCCTCATCATTACTGGCAAAACTAATGTCTAATTCTCCCCTCGGCAGCTGGTGTGAGATGCTCCATGTCTTCCAACATGGTCCTCACAAAAGAAAATTTTCCAGGGGGATATCCTGGCGAACCTTCTCTAAAACCTTGTGTTATTAGTGGAGGGGTACTCTTTGTAAGCTGACCACAGCAATTGGGTCTTTGAGAAAGAAAGGCAAATATATTTTATGACATTCTAAAAGTGAACATATTCTGTAGCATCTTCTAGCTCACAGTGTTCTGCTTTACACACGAGGTTCTTGTACTCCAAAAAATGGAAGGTATCGCCTTCCAAACCAAGTGGTGAAGTTTGTTGGAAATAATGTTATAGTGGATAGTATGTATATGTGTATGTTTTTGTATGTGTCAAAATGGACATCTTCAATCTTTGCACAAGTTGTCCAAAGACTGAAGCTTCTTTTTTCAATTACCAATCTATAGTAACAAGTTTTCTACTTTCAATTAAAACTTTATGCTGCTACAAAAACAAAACAGGTACAATAGCTTAAATATAAAATATATGCAGTAAATTGAAATTTTGAATGTGACAGTAAATAGTGAGGTACTACTACCAATGAAGGATAACTGTTATCAACCTTTGTTTTCACATCTCTCAGCAACACTTTGCACACAACCCCATCAGAAACACTTTTTAAAAGGAAACAACCTTTTCCTTCACTCCTTAATGAACCTTAGGAAAGGGCTTTCCTGTTTGTACCCACACTTATATTGTAATTATCAACATACTATTTTTTAAAAATTTCCATTCCATATGAAACTGAAATAGAGGGTTTAAGTATCTTAAACTCAAGTTTTGGCTTATATCATTTGTTGCATTTACAGACTACTTCCCCGTGGAAAGAGCATTTCACTTTAATGGACTTTAGTCCAAAATTCCCAGCCTTTTAGAAGATGGATATTTTCACCCAAACAGTATTTCCCCCTGTCGATTAGAACAGAGTATTTTATCCAGTCAAGTAAGAGAGTTTAGTGAATCATTGTAGTACTGAATTGTCATAAAGTTGAGATTTTTAAGAATCATATCGGAGCTGAAGTATACTTTTGTTCTTATTTGTATATTTATTCTGAAAATTGGCTTCTACTCAGGCTTTTAGGAGTCACTCACAGATTAAATAAGGACATCATTAAGACACTGTCCTTTTGTTCAGTACAATGACATTGGAGTATCTTTTGACATACATTGTGTCCTGATAGATAGGCAACAGGTGATTTATAAAGTGCCTCTAGAACTTTGTAAATTATGGTTTCATACATCATAGTTTTTGTTTTGTAAAACATGCAATAGACTTAAACATTTTCATGATTGTGGGATATATAAATCAGTGACCAGGTTATCAAACTGTTCCATAACATCCTGAATAGTTGATTGACCAGTAGATGCAGACTATTATTTTTAAGATGGATTACTACCTCATATGGGTAGACTTTGCTGTTGTGACAGTTTAGCAAGCTATATGAATAATTAATTTCTTTTTGTGCACTAAAAATATAGCTCATTTGGATAACTTATTTGTGAAACAAAGCCATTATTTCTAATGTTTAGTCCAAAAATTCCCACCTGTTTAAAAAAAATCTACCACGCCATCCTTATTGCACATTTTGACAATCTAACTTGCTCAAAGAAAGCACATATATAGGTTTTCTATGGTGACATGACTCCAGGACTTTTAGGGACTAGGAGAATGGTAGAAGAACAAGATGAAAACTTTCTTTTGAGCATCTACTATTTGCCAGGCTCCACATTAAATATTTGCATATATTTTAGCTTCCACACTAATCCCATGAAAAAATAAGCACAATACTGATACCTTCCTTTTGCTGCTCCCCACTCCCACCCCTGTGCAGTGGTCTCTACCTCTCCCTGTGTACCAGAAGAGCTATAGGCTGTTTTGTCCCCTGGCTTCTCTTGGTTCAATGGGAAATGGTAAGGTGGTGGCATTTCTTCCCCTTCCTTCCTTGGTAGCCTGAGCAACCTGTCTTCTGGGGCCCTCAGACTCTGCCAGATGGTCTTATCCTTACTCTCCTGACTGAAGGGCCAAGGAAGGAGAGAGAGAGAAACAGAGAGAGTAATAGCTTCCCCTTGTTAGTAGTGGTAAGGACAACAGTCTCTATTTCCCCCCTTTCAAATATAGGCTATACATTCTAAATTCTAAAACCTTACTTTGCTGAAATTAAAATAGCATTTATTTCCCTCCAAGTCTGATACTAGTCTCAATTTCAGTATCATGCTCCTAGTAAGGTACAGACCTGAGATTTTATACTTAGACATAGTACACTCTAGCACCTAGATTCCCATACCTGACAGACTCTTTAATTCCCAGGGGATGGTAGATAGAAGTAGGGAGGGAGGGAAACCATAGTTTCTAATAGAGAACTTCTTAGAGACCTAACTATACACCACTTGTTGGGAAGAATTGTAGCACTCAGCATACAAAGAATATCAAAATAAAAGTATAATGATGTTGCTGGTTATGATATGATGTCTGCCTAAACTGAAGAAGTTCTATATAGTTCGATCAGTTATCTTGCCAAAACCAGAAAAGTGGATACTAGCACTCAAATATAAAAATGAAACTTTTGGGCACACATTGACATTTATCAAGTAGAAATAACTAATATTGATGGGAAAAAATGACAGAAGCCAAACAATATAGTGATATGGTAAAATTCCTTTGGAGGGCCTCTTCCTTTAAGGACTTGATAGGCTTATTGAAATTTTGTGGATATTTTTCATCTTTGTTTATATGGTTGAATTGATATTTTCAGATGTAACATGGATCCACAAAATTCTCCGTTCATTCATTGTTTGAACTCAACAATTAACATCTCATGAAATGCCTACAGATGAACAAAGTTCTCCTTACTAGTCTAAGTAGGGTCCATTCAGGGGGTGGAGATGGGAATCTGTGTGGAATAAGTAATGAGTCAAATCAGCAATTATTGTTTTGGGGGTGAAAACTGAGGAAAGGATCCAGGGTCTCACAAATGCTAGACATGTAAGTGATATCTCTAGCCCTTTTAAAATTGTATTTTGACGTAGGGTGTAAGTTGCCCAGGCTGACCTCAAACTTGTGATTCTCAGTTTCCCAAGTAGCTGGCATTACAAGAGTGTACCACTGTGCCTGGCTATCAATTAAATATTTTTTATACAATCTAGTTCTTTTGTTTTATGTAAACTACATATGGTGTTCTCATATTGTTCAGGCCTCTGATCTACCTCATTTATATAGCTATAAATATGATTATTTGGATACGCATCAAATGAAATAGCTAATCAGACATTTATTAAGAGCAAATGCAAAAATAGTTTCTCAAGACTAATGAAAATCTGGGAATCTGAACTGAGAATTTAACATGGATATTAAGGAAAGAATGCCAATTAAAGTCAAGTTTGTTTATTCTATAACTTAGAAGTGAAAATTTCTTCATAAATCCCTTCTGAATTTTCTGTATTTAATTCTTGTATCTAATAAGGGCTTCTTTTATTCCAATCAGAGACACAGCTATTATGTCTTATATAACCAAGGTAGGTAGGAATATGAACCTTGAGAATTTAAGCCCACCTCTTATTTCTGGCAGGAAAACTGGGATTATTTCAGTCAGTAGGCCTCTAAACTGGGAAGTCAGAAAGAAAGGAACTTGTCTTTGAGTAACTCCTGATCTCAACCAAGCACATTTCTATAGTCATGGATGGCTTATGGCCTAGAACTTTGAGAAACCAGGGTACAAATACAATGTTTGAGAAGTTGCCTGGAGGTTATTGCTATGATCTCTTTGGTTTGTTGGTTTCTTTTCCCACTTTCAATCCTGCAGGAGTCTCTCCTCTTGCTGTAGTCCAGGGCAAAGGAGTGGGATGCTCCATAGGAATGCCTTCAGGAGGACACCCCCCTCACCCAGAAGTAGGCTGGGTGGAATCGTGGGACCAGCATATCAGCAACTCGAAGAATCAAGGATCCCAGACAAGGATACAATACCTTGCCAAGGGTACGTCTTAAAAGCAATGGAATTTAGGGAAGATGTCATGAGCGCGATAGCTTTGAGCTACATGTTACTGATTTCTTCATTAACTGGCTATTTATACTTACTTTTGTCTTTGTTTCACAAGGTTGAACTAATTTAAAAGAATAGGTATGATGGAAAATAGGTATAAGGAAATGTTAAAAAATAAGTGTAGAGATCTAGGCAATATGTCATAGTTTCTAAAACAACTGAAAATTTGTGTTTGATAAAAATAAGATTTCTTAGGAGGAATAATGTATCCATCAGTAATTTGGAAAAAAATGCTTATTTCCTAAGCAATAACCTATATTACATAAAAACATAAATATGTATAAAATATATGAATGTAGTAGATAAAATATGTAAAATCTTTCATCTGGCATTCTTAAATGGAGAATTTAGGTCAATGTGAACAAGTTCAAAGTCACAGCACAACTATGAAACTCATATCTCTTAATTATTCATGGTACAGGGATGGAAGGATGGGCTTTGCGACATCATGGCTGCTGCTCCTTAGAGTGCCAAAGGCGCCCCTTTCTCTGGTGGACACAGACCCTCAAGGGGCTCAAGGCATAGCGAGTGGAGTGAATTTTAGCCATCACATACTAGTTGGCATCAACCATTCAACCAAACATGGCAGCCCTTATTTAAACTGACTAAAATTCAAATCATACCCTTGTCCCTCACTGCTTATGTGAACTTGAGAAATTTTTTATCATCTGAGCTTGAGTTTCATTTGAACTTAAGCCCCCTGGGGCTTGTAAGATTTTGTTTTAAAATGTGTGTAACTAACTTATACCTGACACACAGTTATCACAGAAGTAGTACCGGTGCTTATTGTCATTGTCATAATGTTATCATTGATTTCAAGAGCAATGGAATCAGAAATTACTCCAGAAATTGCAGGCCTCAGTTCCCTCACTCAAAGTCAGGTTCTAAATTGTTCATCTTGAATGAGCTAGGCCAGGGAGTTTAAGCTAAAGATCAAATCAGGTGGGAGGTCCAGCACAGAACCTTAGCTTTCCCTTTCCTTCTGGGTATGCGATAGATACAGTGGTGCCCTGTATGACAAAGTTCTGCAATAGATTTCTTTAAGAAGACTAAAAGATAGGACACAAATAGCCTGTGGCTACATTTTGTAATTTTGAAGCAATTCCAAACAGACTGTAAAATGCATTTGGTACAGATTTAGGGTGACAGTTGCAAATTCAACATAACAGTCTAGTTGTCCAAAATGTATAATGCAAGTCAAGTAGTACACATTTCTCTTGGCCTTCTCTCTGAAACAGGGGCTTGCATTTAGCATTATTATAGCAGATAATGCTTCATAAATACTTTAATAAATCACTAATTATGTCTTTCTGAAGTATATGTGTGTGTACACACACACTCTTACAATTTTTCCCCATTTAGAGTGAATGTTAGAATGAAAATGAATAAGGGGAAAAATCAACTTCACAGATTTTGGGGAGTGGATAGGAAACCCAGACCATACAGTCTTTCACTCCACATGGTCCGGGTATGAGGATGCTCTGAGCCTATGCCAGGCCCGGACCATATGTTTGCGTAACTTCCAGAGCTCAGACATTCCCACTGCACGTTCAGGCAGTGCTGTGCCTTTTACCTCTTGGGAGACTCACAGTGGTGATTTTGTTTTGGTTCAGTCTCCGTTGGTTGGGAATATTCTTTCCAGCTGTCTGGCCACGTGTATTTTTCCTGTGTGTGATCTGCACCCAATGTTGATAAATGGTGGCTCTAAGTATAAGTCACTATGTGCTCAGCACAATGAATCTCAGGGAGCAATCTCATTCTCAGTTCTTAAAAACAGCTATTTTCTACTCCCAGGGGACTGACTGTCTCTCTAGACTAGAAATGGGATTGGTAATAGAATTTCACAGCTAAAGGCCCTCTTCAAATCTGGCCTGAGCCAGGGATAGAGGGCAGGATATGTGAATAAATTTGAAGAGCCCTCAAACATCTGCTGCTTGTTTAGCAACCATGTGGTCACTGTCTGCTAGTTAGCCTCCCAGTGTGTGGCTTCTTGGCAAGAACTTTAGTCCAACTTGAACCCAGCACCAATTTTAGTGTATCAGGGAGCAAGAGTGGAGGTTAAGAATAGATGATTGAGGCCTCTTTTTTTCTGATTGAAAACCTCATCTGTGGCACCCATGGCTCATAGAGCTTTGAACTGGGTTATGCCAAGCAACTCAATCATAAGCTCATAGTCCATAGGAAAGAAGAAATAGAATCACAAAAGTCAGATTCATATCCTAAAAGTAGGTGGGATCCAACATATATGGTGCTCATTCTACAGCCAGCTAGCAACTTGATACATTTCAGTTATACCTTAGGAATTTTATAAATGAACACTGTAAGGATAAGTAGAGTTTAAATGGCTAGCTCCGGGTGGCATCCATAGTCCCTTGTGAATGAGCCTAGATTGAATTCTGGTCTGACTAAACCAGGAAAGGGATGTAAAGAAAGCTACATTCATGGCTGATATGTTAATAGAATACCTAATTGTATGGTTCCAGGGAAAGAGTAGATTTCTTCAATTTAGTCAATCCATTCTAAAATGTCATACTACCCTAGAACTGGGTCTTAAAGTCACCTAGTCAAGCAGATCCCTTGGCCTGACCCCTGAATTACTGGGAACCAAACAATTAATTGTTGGAATTTTTCTTCTTCAGAAGGATGCTTTGAATAACATTTACAGACAAAATGCATCTGTGGTTTCTTTATGGAGGAATGAGAGGAAGGATTGTGTAAACTGTTGTAGCAGTCAATGAACAACAGGCTCATGAACCAAGCCAGAAAAAGGTTGACTCTCAACTCAAGATAATATAGAACTTGATTATCTTGTAAGTCAGGACCACTTCTAGAAATTAAGCTCTCACTTCAACTTCTGCTAGGACACTCAGAGTACTGCACCCCCTGCTCCAACATGGTTCCTCAAATTACTATTACTTTTTTTTTATGCTAAAGTTTGAACCAAAGGCCTGGTATAGACCAAGTTCATGCTTTATCACTGATCCACATTCCCAGCCCCCTCCTGTTTTAGTTGATGAGGAAAAATAAAACGAGACTACCATTTGTCTGAGATTCAGTGCATGTAATGGCATTGGGGCATGAAATCCTGTCTAATCCAAAATTAAATTACATCTTGGAGAGTTCTCATTCTTTAAAGCCCATCTTCATGTTCTGGTAACGTTTTAGGCTTCAGTTATTGCCAGGCATATGTCCAATAGCTAATTTTGGAAATCACATAGTGGTAAACTGCATTTCCTCTTTCTCATCTGAGTCCTTCCTTCAGGTCTCAGGTATATTAGGAGAATGCTTCATGTGTGGTTTTAATTGCCTTTGTACTAAAATGTGCCACATTGTTTACTTGTTTAAAACATCACCTACAATATTATTTTGGTGCTTTTACAGATAGTGTTTATATCTATGCATAGGAATTTGCAGCTATCACTGTCAACTTACTAGATTCCAAACTGCTGATATACCCTGCTGATTTTGATGTAGAGAACAGTTTTTTTAGTTATACTTCTTGGCTCTGTTTCATTAGTGAGTCTGATAGGCAGATTATCTATATAGTCATATGATAATAGGTTGGTTCCAAGGACAAACTATAAGAGTCTGAGATTTGTCCCCTTACTCTTGAAATTCATGGAGCAGAACCTTCAGACTGATTTTTAGTCATATTACACTGAAAAGAAAGTAGTAGGATCTTCCAGAGAAGTTCCTTATACACAGCTATGCAGTTTGCTTGAGTACAGATTCTATAATCCAAATAAATAAATAAAGGTATTCTGAGTTACCTCAGGATGTCCATTTGGCAAAAGTTTCTAGCTTTGATAGTAACAATCAGAATAAGACTAATTCTTTCTAATGATAGAATTGGGGACAATTCATTTGAGTATCTTTTAGGATAGTTTGATTTTATTATTCTTATTCTGTAATTGATAAGCAAACAACATTTTTTTCAATTAATGAGGAAAGTGACCCCATGCAAGTGTTAGCTATTGTTATTATACTTGAAAATGGATATTAGCTGGGATATGGAGGGAGTATTTACTTGAAGATTTGTTCCAGTAGTCTTGTGTTAGATCAAGACTTAGTTATTGCCAACTCTATTCGATGCACAGAAGGAAAAGTTTGGACTACAAAGACCTAAATCTGTTCTGTACCTTTGCTTAGAATTTGGCAGAAAGGCATACCTTGAAATTGTTCCCATTGTGACCTTACAAGAAGGACATCTATTTAGATGCAACATGCTCCCTTGCAATTATTCTTTACTTGTATAAACATGATTTTCTTTACACAACAATGTAAGACAAAGATATGAAATGTATAATAAGGAGAATAACACTAAAATATAACTAAACATGTCTCATGTTCAAGACAAACCACTAAGAAACAGAATAAAATCTGTTAAAGTTCCCAAACCACATATTTTTAAAAATAAATCTGTGATATACCTATCCTTCTTTCTGGCATTGGGGAGCTCAGAGGAGGGAAAAAAATCACCAGGCGTGAACCTAGTCACATTCTGGCATATTCAAATCACTTGGAATGGCATGCTGGCATTCTTGACAAGTTGTCGCCACGCACCATTGAATTACCTAATTCTAGAAACTACACAAAGAAAGCTGCTCAACTTGTAGGAGCCCCTGTGACGCCACCTCATACTGATCCCTAGGCAGGCAGAAAAATTGTGTGCTCCTCTTCCCAACTTCAGACTCAGCAAGGGGCTAGCGAGGTAGTTCTTAAAGGTAGTATGCTGTTAACTGGATTCATATATCCTAAAAATCAATGGTAAAGCAGTGAAACTGAGGACCGCAATACCTATGCTTGATGTGGGGCTTCCCACTTGCCTCCAAATAGGGTGGCCACAACACCTCTACTGGACTAAGCCAGGGCTGAGAGGGTGGTCGAGTTGATGGAGTAGGGTAATGCCATTATGGGTTTCCTGTTTGTCACTATGGAAAGGCCACACTTACCTGCTCAATCCCCATTTACTTTGTATTCTAGGATAGAGGTCAGGAAGACTATACCCCACCTGCCTATACAGCTGTGGTGTGTTGAAAGACCCCTGGACTTAAAGTAAGAAGATCTGGGTTTGAGTCTCAGTCTGTCACTTATTTTCTGTGTGACCTTGGGCAAGTCACTTCAGCGACCTGAGCTTCAGTTTACTTCTCTGTTTAACTGGGAGCATATTATCCGTCTCTGGGGTTGCTGTGAGAGTTCAGTGAGGTGGTGCATGTGAAAAGTTCTTTGTGGATTGACTATTGCTCTAAAGATAGCAGAAAGCAGGATGTGTGATACTTTGTTTCTTTCTCAGGTATTCATCCAATGGTTTAAAAACCCAACAAAATGCATCAATAAATATGCAACTGCCTTCAAGAGAAACAAACCCCTATTTTAATAGCTTGGATCAAAAGGACCTGGTGGGATATTCATCCACAAGGGCCAGTTCTGTGCCCATCATCCCTTCAGTGGGTCTAGAAGAGACCTGCATGCAAATGCCAGGGATTTCTGAAGTCAAAAGCATCAAATGGTGCAAAAACTCTTATTCTGCTGACATCGTCAATGTGAGTATTCCAGTCAGCGATTGTCTTTTAGCAGAACAACAAGAAGTGAAAATATTGCTAGAGACTGTCCAGGAACAAATCCGAATTCTGACTGATGCCAGACGGTCAGAAGACTACGAACTGGCCAGCGTAGAGACCGAGGATAGTGCGAGCGAAAACACAGCCTTTCTCCCCCTGAGTCCCACGGCCAAATCAGAACGCGAGCCACAATTTGTCTTAAGAAATGAAACACAAAGAGACTCCACATTGACCAAGTGACTCGAAATGTAGGAATCTGTGCATTCTATGCTTTGCTCAACAGGAAAGAGAGGAAATTAAATACAAATTATTTATATGCATTAATTTAAGAGCATCTACTTAGAAGAAACCAAATAGTCTATCGCCCTCATATCATAGTGTTTTTTAACAAAATATTTTTTTAAAGGGAAAGAAATGTTTCAGGAGGGATAAAGCTTACCACTAAAGCTTTTGGGTAGAATTCTGAATCCAATTTCAGTTAGTCCTAACAGTGTTCTCTTTGGCTTTTAGAAAATGTGGGCAATTCAGACCCTCAGTCCACAGTGCCAGTGTCCTCAAGGAAAAAAAAAAAAAAAAAACACTGGTAATTAACCTGGTTTCAAAGAGACAAGCTGTATCCTGAGGGTGGATGTGCCCATGAGCAGGTGGCCCTTGCCATTTGGCTTGCCAGTTACAACCCCTAAATTTCCATTCACCGATCACCTTCATCACAGGTTATGTCACATCAAGCCACATAGTGTTTTGTATTTGATTTGCTGAAGAATGGCACGAAGACAGGTGATGGAGGGAGTAATTGGGGCAATCTTAGCTACTCTCATGTGCCATCCTCCCCTGAAATTTGAAAACACTCAGAGGGAGGTATGAAATTATTAGAGACAAAAAAAGAAGAAGTCACAATGTCGTGTCACTGAAATCATGCTAATAGAAATGTTTTTCTTGGAGATTGTTTAGAAGCTCTGAAAGAGCATTTCTGTGTGTGTGTGCGCGTGCCTGTGTGTGAGCGAGCGTGTGAGGTGTGGGCTTGCTCCCTCCAGCACATATGCTGTGTGCACATGTTCATCGTGCATATGTGTGTGCATGTGTGTGTGTGTATTAAGCTTGCTAAAAATTTGTTCTAAAACATCAGGGAATCTAATCTTCAGAAAAAAATTCCCTCTTAGATCTGTTCACTTGAAAGTTATTCATTAAATATACAGTTCAATTAGTGAGTTCTTAAATCAAGATCACTTGCATGGTGGGGTCCTATAAACTCTCGACAATGTCTAGACCATTTTCTGATGTGAATACTTTTGAAAGGAGCAACTATTGGCTTATTGAGAATATCAGTATCACAAAGTGATTAATGGAGGATGTGTGTTTATTTTGAATCATACCTCAATTATTTACACAAGCCAATTATCCAATTGACAGCTACCATTTTTGTTCTCTTCATCCTCATTGCTATTGATTTCATAGCAAGTCTACTATGTGTGGACCAACTCATTGGCTTCAGTGGTTAATATGGAAAGAATAAATCGCTGAAATTACAAAGCCCAGACTATTCAGTTCACAAAAAGCCCCCAAAAGAACAGGAAATTGTGTTGTATGTTTATTTGGAATAAAGCAATATTTTTACCACTGCTAAGGTGAACTGAAACCTCTCCTGAAGATTTGTCTGTTTTATTTTCCCTTACTTTCATGGGGCATTCAAAGAAATTAGTGTTCACATATCCAGTCTTTTTCCAATTATTGGTGGTGTTGAGTTGTTATGTTTACACTGTTTTAAATAAAAAGGCACAGTATTTGAAAGTATATAAAAGATTTCTTTTACTGCAGTTTGGGAAAACCTGGGTTAAAATTTCTTTGTGGATAAATCACATTCCATGGAAAGGCAGATGTAACTACCTGTGAATTGATTAGTGAAAATATACAATTCGTGTTTCAGGTTAAATTGTTTCTGTTGAAAATACATTGCAAATTGCTCTTTGTGAACATTCGTTAATAACAGACATAAAGCCATCTAGGCAAAATAACACTTTTTTTTTTTTAAATCAAAACTGCTTAGCAGAAAGTCAAGGTCTCAAATGTTGAAAACACTTTGGTAGAAACACACTTTAACGAAAGGTCATGTGTCTTTTATTAGTTGTCCCATTAAAGTTTTGTTGTTTTGAAAATAGAGGTAATGTCAGAATTTTTAAAAATCAAAAATTTTTAAAGTCTAGATCACTGACGTTGTCATTTAAAAATACTTTGGAAAATTTTAGGAAGAGACCTTATAGGTTTATAGAATATCCAATATGTTATTATGTTGAAATTTAACACAGTTATCAAATGGACTGGAAGGCCTCACAAGTCTGAAGACATTAACCTTGTTCTTGGTTTTTGTTTTATTCTTCTGAAATATTCTCTTGCTTATCCAAAGGATCAATTCAGAATTCACCTAATCAGTAGGGTAGGTATGTACTCTATGACGCAATGAAGTTATTATTTACACTGGGAAAAAATTAATATTGTCAGTAAGACTTAAGTCTTGTTCTAATATCTTATTTTACAAAATGAAGTAGAACCATATACTCTGTGATTATAACATAACCCACTTCCTTGTGCATTCTAAGGAGCATGAGTATCAGATAGTCCACTGGCAGTATGATGTAAAGTTTAGAAGTATAGTAACTGCCTAGAATAGTCTAGACAAATCTTCCATAAAACCACGGATATTAATGATTACTTCTGGTTCTCATTTGTCTCCTTTGGGAATATGAAGCTCCTGTGCAAAGTGTCCACGTCTAGATATGCACATCTTTGAGCATCAGTTGACAAGTAGTGATAACATCAGACTTTGAAAGTCAATCTAACATGGCATATACTTGGAGGCATGAGTACTTTGTCCTTTCAAGCTCATGTGCCTACAGAGAAGTGCTTATTTCTACAAGAGACTTGATTTTTGCTTCATTTTCCTTGCCTTTATTATGTGAATAGATATTTGGAAATTTGTAATTAAATAGGCTGTATATTCATAACTGGTGATTGTCACCATTTTTTACTTTGAACCATTTTCTGATGTCTTTTTTTTTTATAAAGCTTCTATTACTCTAAATTGCCAGTGACTATTGTAGAATGCTGTTGTTCAAAATATGACCAATTTTGTGCTAATAAGAAATACTAGAAATGGTGTTGGAAAATTATAAATTTTTCTTCCCAATTATCTATGAACACTAAATATTCCATATTTCACACTCTGATCCAATATCTACCTTGCTATAGGTTAAAGACTAAATGCTTGTCAATTTACCACATCTCCAATGATATACATTAGGTTAAGTAGCAATAGCAAGGGTTTCTGAAGAGTGCTGCCTATATAGAAATTCAAAATTAATCTGTTTTGATCATGACAACACATCAGACCTACCAAAAAGAGAACGGAAGGGCAAGTCTTCAAAATGCCCATTGGCTTCTGGAATGAATGGCAGCTACAACTTGACAGGCACTGGCAAGCATGGGTAAGGCTTCCAGTAACCAGGTCTCCACCAGGATGTGTTTGATGTATGCAGCCATCATTCAACAGCTATCCTGCCATATGGTGCTATAAGGATACCATTACTCCCTAAGTGTATGTGTGCGTGGTGGGGGTAGTGATCCCTTTGATTCCAGCCCTGTAAACCTGAGATAAGTGCTATGAAATATTTCTCAACGAGAATGTAGTATACCTAGGAACACAGCAGGAGGGGTGGGATTTTTATTTGATCTTTTGGTATCTGGGAAACATTTTATATATAAAGAATACTTTTTTATTATTATTCAATTGTATAAATTCAGTACAGTGTTTTCAATGAATAGCACGTCTACACTGTGTTTGTACTCTCATCTCCAGAAATTCAGGCAAGATCAGCACAAGGTTTCTGGGCTGTTCTCAATTTTAAATGCATCTCAATATGCCCTGGAAAATGAAGCCTTTAAACAAGCTTTATCTCTTCCATTTCTTTCTTTCCCTTTTAAAGAAATACTGAGGGTAAAGGAAGAAATTCTTTCCTTAAGATCTACATGATTCTCTTAATAATGTGTTTCCTACTGTGACCACACACACAACACATATCTGTATATTAGAGTGCTTAATTACTTTGGTAGCTTTATCTCTTGCTTAATTTGGCAAACTGATTGCCTCACAGAATGCCAATGAAATCAAAGCATTTAGCAATCAGACAACTTGGCAATATTTTGATCACACAGGCATTTTTCATTTCCTTCTCTTTCTTATACAAGCAAAAATACCCCTGGGTTGGAAAATTCACAAGACTTTAGAATAAAAATCTCTGCTAGATTCTCTCAGAAATGAAAAAAGTGAAAATTAAATGACAGGTGTAAGTGATTGCTCTCTCTACAGTGTCTAATGGTCTCATGTATTTTTTTGTTTAAACAAAATTAACCATAACTTCTCCTCACGATGCCTACACAGCTGTCTTTGACTTCTGGTGCCCACTGAACTCTAGTAAGGACAGAGCATGTGTGGGGGCAAGGAGGGAGTACCAAGTGTCAATCTTAGGCATCTCAGCAAAAACAGCAGGGTGCCCAGATACCATCTTGATGAAATAGAGAGCGGCTTCTAGTACTTTGATGTTTGTCATGAATACCTGTATTGATTGCACGTGTATTGTTGCCTATGAAAGAACTGTGTGATAAGAAACAACCTCTTATTGTTGAAAATGAATTAGAAAATCTTTATATTGAAAGTTGTCTTTGTGAAAGCTTCTAACTTATCTATATATAAGAGAAACTTCATGACCTTCTCTGTCAAATAAGGTGGATGATCTAGTGGATAATTCATCTTTGATTTCCCTTCCAAATTGAATACCCTGTTATCCAGCCTTTCTAACCCAGACTTTACTCGCCAACTTGCCAATCATTTCAACACAACCCTTTAAAAGATTAATGGCTATTAAGTCTATCTCACTGAGCCTCAGAAATAGCTGGATACTGTATATCAATCTATAGCAAAAACTGAAAGTTTTCTTGGTACACTGAAATTCCATGGAGAAATATATGGGATTGTTTTGTGGTTATTGTTAAGGTAAATGTACCTCAGATGGGTAATAAAGAAGGTATGGCTAAGAAAAATATCCAATTCCAAAGCTTGAGGATATAAGGTCAATTGCCTCAGGTTTTTTTTTTTTCTTTCAAGAGACAATGTTTATCAAAGACAGAGCAAGGGGCTCTCCAAAGAAGGCATGAGACCTTGAAGATGTTCTCTGTTCATAGAAGCAGTACATAGATTCTCATGAACAAATAAAACATTTATTATTGATATTCTGAAATATTTGCATCATAAACTTTTTAAAAACACTTTCCAAATATTAATGAATAATTTGTCTGGGGACACTTTCCCATTTATGATTGAAAGTAATCCTCATTTGGGGGGCAAAACAGACCAAAAAAATGCAGGGTTTACTTGTTAATATAATTTTGATTGTAATTGTTGTTTTTGACAGATCAATATGCTCTTTCAGTATCATCCTGACAAGCACTGATTCTTCCATATATAATTTGTCTTGGTCAAGATCCCAAAGTCTGAATTTTTTCTTAGTCTTCAATAAAACAATGTGAAATGTTAAAATACTTGAATCAAAGCCAGTAAATTTCAGTTGTGTGTGTTTCTAAATTATAAGGATTCTATCTAGTAATGTGAAAATGCAAATTAAGGGGGCATACACTTTATATTGTTTTTAATGTACTTAGAGGTTCTGATGAACCACTAATGCAGCATGCTACTCTCTATGTTGATGCCATATTTTTGGAAATAAGGGCTTAAAAATTACACATAGTACATAGCACCCAATGTATGGTAAATGTAATGACACAGGAGGCCTTGGATTCAGGTGTATTTCATAGGAAATGCGTATAGCAAGAAAGTACAGTGGTTAAGGCTTATCTTTCACAACCTGATTTTGAGTTCTATTTTTAATCAATGTCTGGAGAATAAATAATTGTATTTAAAATGAAAACAAGTGGGAGAACATAAAACCTCACCTTAAAAATCATTACACCCATTGGTCAGTGGCCACTGTGCATAGTTTACCTAGAAGGATATCCCTCAAATCACTTATTTTTCTAATATGCAATTGTACACATTGCGTACAAATGAATTATCTAATTCTAATATACTTTTAATCATATTCTAAATCAAGAATGTAACACAAAGAATATACAAAATGATCAGTAGAAAATTTTCAGATAATCATTTTTAACAAATTTACTGAGAAAAAGCTTCTGCTTCTGATGAAAATTTTGTTTCAAAAAATGTACTGGATCATCTTCTAAAGCAATTTCAAAATGGCAGCCACTACTCTGTAGGGATATGAAGGCTATGGGAAATAAACTACATGCATGTCCCATTATATCCTAAATAATCTGTGCTTTGATAAAAAAAAAAATCGTTTCCAGCAATGTATGTGCATCTCCTTTATCTTCTTCCAAGAATACATTTCAAAATAGTGGACACCACTCTGTAGGGAATGAAGGCTATGGGAACTATATTTACATGTATGATTTCCTTCCATTATACCTGGAATGTTTGAAGAGATGTGCACTTAATTCATTTGCATCTTGACTTCATCAGGTAAGTTTCCATCTATGAAGCCAAACCTGGACTACCATTTCCCTATTGCATCTCCTCAGTAGCTTTTGTTGGAGTTGGACATTCAGATTCTTTTAGGTTGTGTTCTTATTGCACATAACTCTTATTCCCTTTTATTAAATGGAATTCTCAGCTAGAATGAGAGACCAATGTCATTTTTTTTGGGGGGGTAGCTTTGCTCATTTTAGTTGTGTTGGTGGAGGGATCAAGGAACCTTTCAAATGTAAATGATAATAAGGTTCATGACTGCAGCCAATATCATCTTATAAACAGACATCGCCTAGGGCCTGCTAATTTTCCTTATGTTATTGACAGACTTTTCAACCTTCTTGAAATTGTTTCTAACCACAGTAATTTCCATTTTGTAAGAGAGGAAAAATCACCCAATTATGTAAGAGAACAAAGCCAAATTATAGTTCTTTAAATAATAAATTAACAAGTATTATTATTTTTTAAGTCTTCAAGTAAAATATTAACTTCTTTTTAAAAAAATCAAATAAAAGCTAAGGTTACCAATATAAGAAAATATCAGGCAAATAGTTTGCATAATTCTTTTCATATATCTTCTCTGTAAATTAGGTTCTTCTTTCAACATATCATTTTCATAGAATTATCTGCTGGGTATTAATTTTGCCTATTGAACCCACACATTAGTGTCTGCTTTTGCCATCTTCTCCAACTTGATACAAGTTTATGAAAATCTGTATTTAGTATGGAAAAAACTTGTGAAAAGAATTATTAACTTCTGGTTTTCTCATTGACAATTTTCATTAAATATTTTACATTAAGCTAAACACAGAAGAAACTATTGAGTCAATTATGGAAACAGATGCAATCATATTCTTCAAATGTTTGACACACAGACAAAAGAACTTACCATTTTTCTCAGATCCAAATCCAAGAAAGGATTTGTTCAAAAAGGGGTATATGAGCTTATTCAATAAATTCCAGCTTTACTGTGACTCCTGTCTCCTCTGGAAATGAAGACACAGAGCCAGGTACAGTGGTGTACACCTATAATCCCAGCTATTTGAGAGGCTAAAGTCAGAGGATTCCAAGTTTGAGGCCAGCCTGGGCAACTTAGAAAGACCTTGTCTAAAATAAAAAGAGCTATGGATATAACTCAGTGGTAGAACACCCCTGAGTTTAATGCCCAGTACAAAACAAACAATGAAAAAAGAAATTCAGGTAGATAAAAGCAGAAAAATCATTCTTTATATCTAATTTCAAAATTAATGGTTTTGAAGTGTGAAAATTTATCATCCATTGATTAAATTATGCTAAAACCATAAGAAATTGTCTTTGCATATTTTCTTCTAGTTTCCACAAGTGCATTTTTTCTTCACATTTTTTATTGGTGCATTATATTTTACATTCCTACAATATAACAAATTTGGTCAACATCCTCCCCAGCAAGACCCGTTAACTCCTACTCCAGTTTGTCATCTCTTTATTCTACTGATTTTCCTTTGCTTTGCTTTTCATGTGACCACCTCCCACTTTTATATTTTATGTTTATGGAACCAGGGTAGGTATCCATCAACAGATGAATGGATAAAGAAAATGTAGTGTACATACTCAATGGAGTTTTATTTGACCATAAAGAAAAATGAAATTAAGTCATTTGCAGGAAAATAGAGGGAACTTTACACCATTATGTTAAGCAAAATAAGCCAAACTCAGAAGGTCAAGGGTAATATGTTTTCTCTCATCTATGTGAATATTTTACATATTTTCATTCTATTTTGTGTTATGATTTTTAATACATACTATCCCATGGCAATACATTGTCTTTATAAATAATTTAAAGAGTACATAAATCCCAGTTTGTTCTTATATTTTCACTTAATTAGACATTATATTATTTGACATTCAAATTGCTTCAATAAGTAACCCATAATTGATACTATAATATGCATTACTTTTTCCTTTGGACAGAAACTACACATCCACAAATGTGTTTCACAGGATCTATATACTTGCAATTGTAAGTAATGATTTTGTCTCAGCTAGTACATGCATTTTTTGGTAGGGTCAAAGGTCTATAATCTCATAAGGTTTGTGAAGAAATCTGTAAAACTCTATGAATTAGACTAATTCCTTTACACAAGTTCCTGGTTACACATTGAAAAAAATGGTATGGCTGGGTCAAGGAGTCTGACCATTTGGTAAATTCATGGTAGATGTTTGCTCAATTGTTTTTGGCAGTGGCTCATATATTCATTCCAACATCTTTTGAGCTTTTTAATGTTTTTTATTTACTTTGCATAGAAACATTGTGATTAGAATGTAATTATATTGAAGCTTAATTTTGTTTTCCAATTAGAAAAATATTACATGCTTACATATAAGATATTCAAGATATAAAAATCATCACAAGGATATAACCACTGCTAATATTTGTCTATATTTCCTTCCAATCTTATTAAATATTATATATTATTATTTACAAAATTGAAGTCATCTGATATTTAAAATATTTTGTCCTGCTTTAATAACTTTAAACATGTCCTACACTCATTTCCTTTTTTAGTAAATCATCTTTACTCACATTCAATGGTTATCTAAGACATTACATGGATGAAAATTTGTATTTTCAAAGGGCTTTTAAACATATCATTCAATTGTTTATTTAATGTCTATTATCTTGATGTGGCAATATTTAATATTTTGTATATTGTTATGCATTAATATTTTCTTGGCATTAGCACATTTCTAAGTATGAATGGACAGAGATAAAGTTCTCCTACAGTATATATTTTGATTTTCACAGTAACCTTTTTTTATGATTTTGTTGATCAAAATCTATCATATTTTGTTAACATGGATGGTTGAGAAAAAATAAAAACCTTAAAGCAACCTCTGCATACCCAACTGAATTCATAACTCAGTTCATACCCAAATAACTGTTGAAAAAAATGAGGAGGAAGAAAAGAAAAGTATTTTAAAAAATCTATCAACCTGAAACCTAGGAGACATAACATTGGCATAAAAGGAAATCGTTATAAAGAATTGAGCATTAGCTTGGCATAGATGTTTTACCTGCATTAACATGTAATTTTCATAATAATCTTATGAGGTAGATATTCATTGATAGGAATATTTTGAAGAATAGGAAATGGAGGCACAGAAATTTAAGAACTTGATGAAGATTACATAAAGAAAAATTTGTAAGGTTAGATTTCACTCTATAGAGTTCTTGCATTCTTATTCTTTGTTTTCTCTTTCATTTTCTTTCAAGAGAAATTTCTGAGAATATATGTCCATCAGAGTAGATTCTTTCAGACTAAGTAAGAATCATCCTGACCCTAGTTCAGTAAACCCACACTCAAAACTGAAATAAAAGGCTAAGGCCAAAGGCTAACAGTCAGTAAAAGACCACAATACTGTAAGGAAGTAAGTCAAGGAAAAAAGTTTAAAAGATGATACAAAGAACTGAAAACCTATACAATTACTTAAAAAAAAACTGTCAATGTAAAAATATGATCTAGTATAAAGAACTCACAAAGTTGGGCACCAAAAAAACAACCCAATCAACAAATGGGCCAAGGACCAGAACAGACACTTTTCAGAAGAGAATATACAATCAATCAACAAATATATGAAAAAATGTTCACCATCTCTAGCAATCAGAGAAATGCAAATTAAAAGTACTCTAAGATTACATCTCACTCCAGTCAGAATGGCAGCTATTATGAGTGTTGGAGACGATGTGGGAAAAAAGGTACCCTCATACATTGCTGGTGGGACTGCAAATTGGTACAGCCAATATGGAAAGTAGTGTAGAGATTCCTTAGAAATCTGAGAATGGAACCACCATTTGACCCAGCTATCCCTCTCCTCAAGACTATATCCAAAGGACTTAAAAACAGCATACTACAGGGACACAGCCACATCAATGTTTATAGCAGCACAATTTACAATAGCTAAACTGTGGAGCCAACCTAGATGCCCTTAAGTGGATGAATGGATAAAAGAAATGTGGCATATATACACAATGGAATTTTACTCAGCATCCAAAGAGAATAAAATCATGGCATTTGCAGGTAAATGGATGGAGTTGGAGAAGATAATGCTAAGTGAAGTTAGCCAATCCCAGAAAAACAAATGCTGAATGTTTTCTATGATATAAGGAGGCTGACTCATAGTGCGGTAGGTAGGGGGAGCATGGGAGGATTATATGAATTCTAGATAGGGAAGAGGGGTGGGAGGAAAAGGGAAGGGCAGGGGATTAGCAAGCGCAGTGGAATGTGATGGACATCATTATCCAAAGTACATGTATGAAGACCCAAATTGGGTGTCAACATACTTTATATATATAAACAGACATGAAAAATTGTGGTATATATGTGTAATAAGAATTGTAATGCAAAAAAGGGGATGTATAAAGGCATGAATTGGTATGAACATACTCTATATACAAAGATATGAAAAATTATGCTTTATATGTGTAATAAGAATTGTAATGCATTCCGCTATCGTAATTTTTTTTAAAAAGCAGCAATTATGTATACCCTAAGATACAATCTATTTCAAAATTTTAAAATAGAAAAATGTTTAATGTTTTAAAATAAAACAATTCTTTTATAAATAACAAGCGTAAAATGGGAAATTAAAGATCCAGTTAAAGGAAATTTGAAAAACAAAAAAGACAACAAAGTATTTAAAACACCCAAAGCTGTAATTGGAAATATCCTCAGTCTTAAATCAATAAAACATTAAGAATATAAAGAAGTGTTAAGAGCTCAAGTTAAAAAGTGAGAAAGTAGTATAGCCCACTTTACAAATAAAGGATGTGAAAAAAAAAGAATTATATATTTGGAATAAGAAAAATAGTGGAATTAATAGCTCTCTGAAAAGATAACATAAAAATGCAAATTTAGGAAATAAAAATGAGAAATAAAAACAAGTAGCATGTAAATCACAAATATGGAAATACTTTCTCAATAATTTTTTTTGCCTATTACTATACAAATTGAATGGAATGTGACTTCAGGAAAAATAAAATGAAGCAAAATGGCTTTAAAATAGAAAATTTGAGTTATGGGAATATTCATAAGAATAGAACAAAACACTTCTTTTCCAAGAATTACTTACTATAAGTGACTTTCCATAAAACATGTTTGTACATTAAAAATACAACTACAGGTATACCAATGTATGCCAATATGGTATGTGTATCATAGTATATATCTAATGCATAATGTTATGAAATTAATAGATTCACCATCATTACATACTGTATAGTGTAAGAGATGATTACTATATCCATACATGTAAGTGGACTTGAATGCATCAGACTTTCTCCAAATTTTGACAAAGGCCTAAAGGTTGAGAAAACTGTTTTGTGCCTTCTCTTTTTATGACCAGCCTTAAATCACCTAAAGGGACATGCTGAAAATTGTTAAAGCTATCTCTTCAAGCATTAGCAGTTACATCCTACCTCTAAAAATGTGAACTTTGTAGTTCCTTTTAAGAGGATTGCCAGAATTCTGTGTTCCATTTCTCAGATGAAGAAGGGATGATGAATTTTCACATTGAGACACACGTGACAGGGAATTCAAAGAACCTTTCATAGATCCCGTGGCATCTATCCTTATGAAGTTCAAACCTGGGAACAATAAAAGATCAAAAACTCCCACAGGTACATGCCTGAAACATGTAGATTGAAGAGACATAGTTGGGTAGAGGTGTTATGTGCTTGTCTTACAGTCAGGATGTGTAAGCCCCTTCCCCTGGGGGCATCTGAGGCAAGAAGGATGACTTGGAGGAGAGAGGCTGGGTGGTGATCTAGGGCTAGGGAGGATGCTAGAGGAGACTGAGGCTGAAGAGGTGTTGGCTCTGTCAGGTATGGGTTCTCCAACTTCCAAAAATGCTTCAGCAAAGAAAGCTCGTGTCCTTTTTCAACTCCTTCATTCAAAGGATGGAAGAGCATCATTGAAAATTTAAATAATATTTCTCCTAATGGAAAATCCACATCTTAAACTTGTCACATCCCCAGTTTCATTCATAAATATTATGCCATTGAATAAAAGACATACTAGGAATAGTTTTGCAAAATACAAGGAAGAGAAGAGTCAGAACCATTTTGGAAAAATAAAGCCATATGAAGAGAATGAGGAACAACAGTATAACCCAAGATATGCTGCATTTTTTATAGGTAATTGGGTCAGATATAAAAAGAAATAAAACATCTCAGAAATACACTTATAAATAAAAAAATCAGAAATTAAAACATTTTTAAATAAAATTAATTTTCTTGTTAAAAATGTTACTACGCCAGGGTATGATGGCACACACTTGTAATCCCAGCAGCTCAAGAGGCTGAGACAGGAGGACTGAAAATTCAAACCCAGCCTCATTAAGCAGCTCTGTGAGATCCTGTCTCTAAAATACAAAATAGGGCTGGGGATTTGGCTCAGTGGTTGAGTGCCCTAGAGTTCAATCCCCAGTACCTGCCTCCCTCAAAAAAATGTTACTAGTGTATTGGTCACCTTGGTCTCTATCTCATAATGTATATTATGATATTGGTGTATTGAATTGTTACAGAAAAGGGTAAAAGAGTTAAGTAAAGCCACACACAAAGCAAAGAAAACCTAGAAGAAATATAAATAAGGCAAGAACATTCTAGGAATGGAAGCAAAGCAAGGGAAAACTCCAAAATGAACCAAACTGACAGGAATAAATGTCAAAATTGATATTTTTAAAAAACCTAAGGTTAATGATGAAATTGGAGTAAGGTTTACAACATTAACGAGAAAATATACTATCCCAAACAA